GGATGGTCCTCCATCTTGCCTTCACTGGCCGGATGGTCCTCCATATTGCATTCACTGGCCGGATGGTCCTCCATTTTGCCTTCACTGGCCAGGTAGTACCTTATTTCTGAGGTCAAAAATAGGGGTTTCCATTAAAAAAAATCAACTTCACCTTTAAATGACCTCAAAATTTGACCCCAAGGTCAAGATCTAGTTCACTGACAAGTGCTCCTGTTTAAACCTAGTAAATATTGTACTTACAATTGTTTAGAACATGCATAACTACATACATAAACAAAAAATATATTTGATCTTGGAGTGACCTCTAATGATCAACTTGATCCCGTAATATTATACATAACTGAACGCAGAATTTGTTACTATTTTTATTTCCGTAATCAGAAACAGAGTTTTCCGCTTAAAAAAACCAACTGAACCTTCAAATAACCTTAAATTTTATTCCAAGATCAAGGTCAGGGTCACCATTGTACGTCCCCCTCTAAACCCTGCAACTTCTGTATTTAAGTTTTCTTCATCTTCTTTACTTTCTGAGTAATTCGATTAGAGAAATTAAAATGAAACACCTTGTATATCCCTGACTTTTCTTATATTTTTGAAATATTTCGACTAAAAAGTTTATTTGTGTAGTTGTACTGAATAATATTATAAAAAATAAAATTATTGTTTTGGCTGAATATGAGGATAATACAAAACATTTTGTATCAGTTGAAGAAGTAGCTAAGGTAATACACTAGAAACGTGGAGGTATCTGCAGTTCTCGAGTTTGCGTTCCGACCAGTACTGAGTAAATTTTCTGGTATGAAAATAGTGAGAAAATCAATTACAAGTCCTAAATTTCATTTAAAATTAGCATAAATTGATGTTTAAGAGTCGAACAAATTTCATAAAAATTATGTTATTGTACAAGATTTCAGTTACTGTTACTATACTAAAGAAAACTGTTGAGAGATGTTCAAATTAACTGCAAGATTTTTATATTGGGAGTACAAATAAGTCTCCGCCGTTTGACAAGAGATGGCCCCACTAGTAAGTTATGGTTGAAATTGTCAGATGTAAAACGTCATATCGTAAGGTTGAACATCTGGCAACACCATAACCTTGAAATATTAGCAATTTTGTATCAGCATCACATAATTTTTTTCGTGTAAAAATGTCGAGTTTTGAGCCAAATAAACGTCATTTGCGGGAACTTTTGATTTACTTCTTTAATTTGAAGAAATCTGCAGCTGAGGCGCATCAATTGCTTATAGAAGCATATGGTGAGGCTGCTTTAAGTGAGAGAAGTTGTCGTGAGTGGTTTCAAAAGTTTAAGAACAGTGAGTTTGACGTCGAAGACAAAGAACGTAGCAGAAGGCCGAAAGTGTACGAAGATGCGGAATTGGAAGCATTATTGGAAGAAGATTCGTGCCAAATGCAAGAAGAACTTGCACTTACATTAGGAGTGACTCAACAAGCAATTTTACATCGTATAAAATCGTTGGGAATGATTCAAAAGCAAGGAAATTGGGTTCCATATGAACTGAAGCCGAGAAACGTTGAACGATTTTTCACATGTGAAATGCTGCTTGCCAAGCATAAACGAAAGGATTTTCTGCATCGTATAGTCACTGGTGATGAAAAATGGATCCACTACGATAACCCAAAGAA